GCAGAACGTCAGTTGAAATAACATTTATATATTCTTTTCAGAAATATACAGTAACATTAAAATGTTCAATTTTACTTGTGGTGAAGTTTGTTTTATAAAGTAATTAAGCATTTGTAGTACTGTGTGCAATGCATGAAAAGTCTTACTTTATGATAGTCAAACTAATGTGCTTGTGAGTTTGTAGATAAAGGCTTAGTCATCGACTGCTTGTTAATCCTTTCTACTGTGGACGTAGTTGTGTCTACAACTACGTCCACAAGTCTTTTGGTGGTATTTGCCCTGGTAAAGATTGTTTATCCAACGAAAGTTTCTGATGAGATTTTATTGTTTGAAAAATATATATAGGATTGGATTCTTATAGGGTCGTACTGTTACTGCTAATGTGAAGTTCACAAATTCAATTGTCTACTGGCTGAAAAATGCTGGCTATTTTTGGTTTGAATGTATGTATTCAAATACTCAAATGTTACCATTATACAGTGTGTAGTAAAAATACCTCCTACACAATGGAAAGACATTAGTGCCAATAGTGTTTTCATCTAGTTATGGGGTTATCAAATGGGATTCAAGCGATCCCCTAGGGATTAGTGAGGATTTCCAAGGGGTCAATGATAGTCAAGGGGTCGAATGTGGGTGAGTGTGTGAACAACCTGCACAACAATATTGAGCCTATCCAATTTATCTCTGTTTTAATCTGTCTTTGGTATTTTCTTCACGAGATGATTTAATATATATTAACTATTGTATGGATTTTTTGCATCCAAGGCATTTTTAAGCTTTATATTGACTGCTTGGTAGTATACTTAACTACTACTCTAATAATATCTTTTAAAGACATTTCAAAACCATCAAAAAAGACCTCATTCTAATATTGCTATATTTTTTGTATGAAGCACATGTGCTTCTCATACATCTCCAAACATCCTCATCTTTGAGCCTTTTATAACGGCACTAATTTCAGAGCTTCTTTGCATTTGAGACAATTCACTACTGGCTTAAACCATTTTCTTTATATCCAATACCTTATTAATTGGATATTAGATGCGGTTATGCACTTCTGTTCAATAGAATTGGTTGTATTTAGGCTTGGTGTACTTAATATATTATTTGCTTGATTCATTGGGGTTATTTAATATATATTTTTTTAAAATATATTTTGTGAAGAAAATTCTGAACTTAATGACTTATTTAGTTTTGGGGGGAAAATTTTGAACCTGATGCAAATGTTTTAGCTTTTCATACATTTTAGTTAACATTTTAATTGACAACACCAGTGCAATTTTTAAGGTTCAAATATATTTTAAATAGGAGGCAGTAGGGAAGAAAGGGAAATAAAATTGGGTTTCTGGTAGAAAAAGTTTGACGACACCTAATCTAGATTACCATTATTTGGGAGGTATTTCTACCGCACTACATATACTAGAGAATGAATTGTATTTTCTGCACAACTTTATTATTGTTAATTAATCAATGTGGTTTACAAATAAATAAATAGCTTGTAAAAAGATTTGAACTGATGTTTCATATCCTTAAGATTAGGATATATTTGATATTATTAATGTCTTACTGATTTGACCATGATTATGTAGTGTCTTAACAGAAATAGTATGAACAGCAGCCTTTAATAAACATAGTATCAGCAGCAGCTCTGAGGTATAAAAATGAGTAAACCCTTAAGTAAATTCTCTCTTCTTGTTTTCCCTCCTTTTGAAGTGTGTGCCATTGACTTTTCACACTGAAGCAAAAAGGGCAGTGGATGCTGAACACAGAAACACACCTACACTGGCAAGTCACACTCAAATACATTAATTAACAATTTTCATTGTGCATTCAATTTACTTCAAGGAAAAGAAACTCTTAAACTTTCTGTTTTATTTTTTTTTTAAATAAATATTATCTTGTATTGCAATTTAATCAGTCTCTGTTATTTTGTGCATGTACCTTTTTCATCACCATTTTTTCATGTCAAATATTCTTGTAGACATCTTAATAATTATAGAAGTAGTCAACACACTAAAATGATATTTTGGTTACTTCCATCTTGGATAAAAGGAGGGATTACCTGCCCTTGTTTGAAGTTGGAGCTTGGCAGAAAAGATGGACTCCATGTGAATGAATTCTGCCTACAGATTTGAGCATAAATCACTAAGAAAAATTAAATACACTTTCTCATTTACATTATTCGGACTATTGCCTTCATCGCCATATACAATAGTCCGAATAATGTAAATTGTGTACATAATACCTCATCTCAGAAATATAGACAGATACACTTTCTCATCTGATTTTTTTCCACACAATATCATTTGTTTACTACCTTGTAGTAGTAGACATAATAGTCTTAAGTTGTCTGAATTTCTTACATGAAACAATTTAAATCATTTTTTATTAGTATACCTTTCATTTTATTGTTACTATTTGTTTGTGGCTAATTTGGTAAGGCATTGTTTATATCAGATGAGCTTCCAAAGATACAGGATTCAAGTTCAAAAATTCATTGGAAATTTTTAAATTCAATTAATAGAATGTAAAACAACCTAATGTTGTGTCCATAGAAAAATGCATAAATAAAAAATTAATTATACTCTTATGGTGTTGCATTCATGAAAAATAAATAAATAAAAATAAATTATATTGTCAAAAAAATAATTATAATAAAATAATTATAACAATTATAATTATCACTAATTCACTTTTTCTAAACCAATGAGAATCAACCTCATTTTTCTCCTCTACACACACACATACACATAACATTCTCACTATCAGACAAGCAGTTCACATGTACAGGTCATCAAAACATGCATCAATGGAAATTTCATCTCCTTTTCATTTTTTAGGCCATAATAGTAACATTTATCTTTTAGTAATCAACAAAAATTTGAGGTAAGAAAACTCCAGAAAATTCTTTTATTTTTCCAACTGAATTACCTAGACACTCATTACACACATCTATAAAAAAAAAAAAAAAACATATGAAAAAAACTGTATACACTTTGCTTATTCTTTATCTTATAATTCTATCGGATTCCAATCCATATTTGATTGACATTTGACCCCAAACTCATAATTTTACTCAGTATTATTGTCTCTCATGTCTCCAACACCACATAACAACCAAATAATAAAAAGACTTGTTTGGTTGTTTCTACGTCTTACTGTTTCTCATTTTTATGAGTATTTTAGTATATATAAAATATAGTGTATATATAAATGTTAGGGAGTTTATAATTATTTATTCAGAGTTATAATTCCTATACACTGAAAATTGTGATAGAAAGCATTACATATTCTGTGTATTCATAAGGATAAAGCTTTCATAATGTTCATAATGTTTGTTCATAATAATAAAGCTTCACAAATACTGTGTTATATTTTAAGAAGAATTACCGATACTCAGATATTATTGTTGCTATGTTGTTAGATAAAGGTGGGGGATCACCTGCCCTTAGTGGGTGTTGGACGTTAACAGAAAAGATGGTCAATATGTGTTGACAATTGTTACCAAGTAAAAAACTTTTTAAAGATTAAATCAAATTTATAAAGATTGTTACAAAACCTACCAATTTCCTCCTGCAAAATTATGAAACTCATTTCCTCATACAAAATTTAACCTTCTTTGTGTCTCAGGATTGTCTTCATTGATCTTAGCAAAATGTCACAAACGTCTGGCTAAAACAATATTTCTGCAGGAAAGATTCTGAATGAAGATTTAAGATTATAAATCTTTATTAATCTTAGCTTAATCTGGCACAAGGTCACAAATTGTGGAGCACCCAGTAAGGATTGAACTCATTATACATCAGCAATAAGCTACTAGACTATTTTGCCAAGAATCTTTATTATCCAAAAACACAATGCCTTATCAGTTGAGGTTATAGATGTGTGTAAAACACAAATTGTTAGGTAGGAGTTCAATCTCGATAGAAGTATCACAGGTTGACATGATAAAAACAGATTTTACTAAGCAGGTTTCAATTTTGTACATAGTTACATTAATGAAACACTCAGTGAGGATGATACTCATTAAAAGACACTGGCTGCCAATTTATAACATGATCGTATATGTTGTTAGATACAAAACAAAATAAAGATCTTTTTTATATTGGATTTATTTTCAGCTGCATCAATAGAAAAAGAAAATAAATGTAAGTATCTTCCTGTCTTGTGCATATATATATATATATATGAAGAAAAATATATGGAAAAAACAAACAAAAATCCTAATATGCAATTATGCTGTTTTAATGTTAATATAATGTCAACGTCGGACGTTTCGGTCTAATAGACCATCTTCAGGACATATTCATAAAACATAATTAGCATTAGACCATATTCAATTAAACATGAAAAAGACGATGGACATAAGAGCAAGACCAATCCAAACAGATAACTGAAATCTTTTACAAGATCAGCGTTCTGTTTAAATATGATCACGTTGTGAAAACATATTCCTAAAATTTGAGTATTTTGAATGAAAAACGAAAAGAATTTTATTTTGATCTAAAACTTATATGTATGTTTGTCAAGCATTAATCTTGCTAGAAAAAGGGAAATATTAAAGAAGCCAGGTCTAGTGTTCACCGTGCGTGAGATAGATATTTATGTGTGTGTGTGTGTGTGTGTGTTTATGATTTGTATATTCCTTATCTTATGTATATAATAGGACTCTATTTTAAACACTTTTGAAAAAGCCTTTTAATACACATAATACACAGATTGTTTCATGCATTTCAGTGCAATTATGAAAATGAACATTTATATATATATGTGTGTGTGTGCATGCACACACAAATAGATATAAATTAATGTACATATATATATAGTTGCATGCAAATTGTTTTAAAATGTTGATAAATGAATATGAGAATTTTAAACAAATGTACAATAGACAAATACATGGATACACACACACACACATATATATATATATATATATATATATGAGAGAGAGAGAGAGAGAGAGAGAGAGAGAGAAAGGCAAGAAAGATAAATAGGACATTTAGATAGATAGATAGATAGATAGATAGATAGATAGATAGATAGCAGGGTTGGTTTCAAGCCTATTTAACCAATTTTATCAAAACTTTAATTGTGACAGAGTCACTGTTTGAAGCATTTTCTGTATTCAAGGAGGAATAAACCATGACTGAAAATGTGAAATGAAGAATGAGAAATTCTTATTCCTTACATTATTAATTTATTATATAAACTATTTTAACATGAAGTTGTTATCATGTCACTTCTATCAACAACCAAAAGGTTACATCTTTCAACCAAACGGGTACCAAAAGATAGAATTTATCTGTGTTTAGGTTACTTTACGATAAAAACACATTTTTTTTATAAGTGTCGTACTTTAGGTTCCTCATATATTGTGTAAAACTCTGTTTTCTTCACATGAATATCATTGCTCTTTGAATATATCATGTTTCGTTATATATTTAAGGATATATTATGCTGTAACAATATAATCAGCTGTATTTTTTCCAAATTTTCTTTCATATAGTTAGCTACTTGGTATTGGTGTGTGGGTGTATGAGGGGGTGGGGGACATTGTTGGATCTTAGGTAAAGGGCTCACCACTGATATAATAAACAACCCTGAGAAATAATGTCCTTATGGTCCCCAGTTGTGAAGTATACACTGAATTGCCGGTGAAAGCCCAAACAAATCTTACTGTTCTCATCATGCCAGGAAATTAATTTTATCTGAATTTCTACAAAATTTATCTATCTTAGTGCTTTGCATATGTCATTTTATTTGTTTTTTTCCAAATTAAATATTTTATCTAAGTAGTTAATACTTAGATAAAATATTTAATCCTCTATTTCCATACTTGAGTAGTAAAACATTGCGGTATGATATTCGCTATGACGTTCTGTGCACTTATGAACTTCATACCAATAAAGACCAAAAATTTCTTATGAAATTTCAACATTGGTTTCCTTAAAAGATTTTGTATAATGACAGCAATTTTCAAGTATTTTGGAATAATACTTTACAATATATTACAGTAAATGTGTGCAAAAGCTTTACAAGATGATTTCCCAAAACTTTGAAATTTTGGGACAATAATACTTATAACATTTTTTAATATTGAAATCCTTTCTTTCTTTCCCCTTCTTCTTTCCTTCTTCAAACTTGCTTCCTTCTTTCCCCTTCTTTCCCCTTCTTCTTTCCTTCTTTCATCCTTCAAACTTGCTTCCTTCTTTCCCCTTCTTTTTCCTTCTTTCATCCTTCAAACTTGCTTCCTTCTTTCCCCTTCTTTTTCCTTCTTCTTTCCTTCTTTCATCCTTCAAACTTGCTTCCTTCTTTCCCCTTCTTTTTCCTTCTTCTTTCCTTCTTTCATCCTTCAAACTTGCTTCCTTCTTTCCCCTTCTTTTTCCTTCTTCTTTCCTTCTTTCATCCTTCAAACTTGCTTCATCCTTCAAACTTCCATCCTTCAAACTTGCTTCCTTCTTTTCCCTTCTTTCCTTCTTCTTTCATCCTTCAAACTTGCTTCCTTCTTTCCCCTTCTTTTTCCTTCTTTCCCCTTCTTCTTTCCTTCTTTCATCCTTCAAACTTGCTTCCTTCTTTCCCCTTCTTTCATCCTTCAAACTTGCTTCCTTCTTACCCCTTCTTTTTCCTTCTTTCCCCTTCTTCTTTCCTTCTTTCATCCTTCAAACTTGCTTCCTTCTTTCCCCTTCTTTTTCCTTCTTTCCCCTTCTTTTTCCTTCTTTCCTCTTCTTCTTTCCTTCTTTCATCCTTCAAACTTGCTTCCTTCTTTCCCCTTCTTTTTCCTTCTTTCCCCTTCATCTTTCCTTCTTTCCTCTTCTTCTTTCCTTCTTTCATCCTTCGAACTTGTTTCCTTCTTTTCCCTTCTTCTTCCTTCCATCTTGTTAATATAATTTTTTTTATTTCAGATTATTGTCATTGTTTGTCTTTCCTAAAAAAGATGATATAAAAAGGCCTTACATCATGGCAAGCACAAGCAGAGATCAAATCAAAGGGTATAAATATTTAAGTGGCAACCAGAAACGAGCACTGGCCAAGGCTAAGGTAGCTGAAAATAAAAAACAGAGGTGCTATCAAAAAATTCCTTGTCACTCCATCTTTGAGGTGTTCATGTATTGGGGATGAAGAAAACCAAAACTATTAAGAAAATGACGATATGGCGCCTTGAGTCCAATTCCAGTTAATAAATACATGATGACGTTAATAACAAATTAGAAAATGATGACACAGTTGTGAATGAAATTGAAGACGATCTCAATGCATCAAAAAACAGGGCCAAAACAGAAAGCTTATTTATGACTGGAAAAAAAAACAAGTCCAAACATCATGCAATGATAGATCATCCATGTGAACAGTTGTAATTAACATGTATGATGACCCAACCTGTTGGACAACAGAATTTTTAAAAATGAAAGTTCCTCCTAATATTCCAGTGTACAGCTTTCCAAGAAATGAAAAGGGATTATATTTTTCAAAGTTTCACTGTAAGAGGAAAGTTCCAGATGCGGAGAATGTTCAAAGACCTTGGATTATATACTCTCAGTCTAATGATAGAATTTATTGCAAACTTTTTAGTAAGAACACAACCAGTGCATTATCAACAAGTGGATTCAACAAATGGTGAAATCTTCACACAAGGTTATGTGAGCATGAAAATTCAAAGAACCATTTGGAAGCCACATGGATTTTCTTGGAGTTACACCAAAGACTTTGCAATGAACAGACAATTGACAGAGTGTAAAAAATTTGTCAATGAACATGTAAAGCACTGGTAGCAAATATTCAAAATCTTAGTAGCAATAATGCAGTTTCTTGCTGAAAGAAATTTAGAAATTAGAAGAACAGAACAAAACATTGGTAATGAGTGTGTGCTCAATGCAAAAGTTTTTAGGTCTTGTGGAGCTGCTTGGAAAGTTAGACCCAGTTCTTGATACACATTTGCGAAATATCAAAACCCACAAAATTCATAATCAATATTTAGGAAAAAATACTCAGAATGAACTAATAAACATCATGGCTACAGATGCTTTGAATGAGATACTGAAATGTGTGAAAGTAGCTAAGTACTACCCGATTATTTTAGACTGCACACCTGATATGAGTCACCAAGAACAAATGTCTCTAACGATCATATATGTGTCTGATGGTAACTTGGTTCCTTCAGGTGTTTATGAACATTTCATAAAGTTTATACAAGTTGAAAGTAGCACATGAGAAGATTTATATAAAACATTATTAAACACATTGAAGGAATTAAATTTAAAAGTGCAAGACATTCAAGGCCAAGGCTATGACAACAGTAACAACATGAAAAGTCACACATGGAGTAGAAGCATAGCTGTTGAAAGATAATTCAAGAGCATTTTTTGTACCCTGTGTATATCACAATTATATCCTTTTACTTGGAGATTTAGCCAAGTGTTGTCCAGATGCTATAACATTTTTTAGGATTTTGCAAACAATCAGCATCAACAAAAACGTGGGCAGTTTTTAAAAATGTATTTGTGTTATCAGTTAAACCCTTGAGCAAACCAAAGTGAGAGTGTCAGATTAATAGAGTTAAAGCTATTTGTTATCAGGTTGGAGAAGTAGATGATGCATTTGTAGAAATATCAGAGATAACAGATGAGCCTAAGGTAAAAGCAGAAGCTGAATCTTTAGCAAATCAACTAAAAGACTACAAATTTTTATATTTGATATTTTGCTATGAAGTTAACTATGTAAGCAAGGAAGCACAAGGTGAAACATTGAAGGCATGGAGTCATTTAAAAAACTGTTATCATGGCTAAGAATTTATAGAGAGGACAGTTTTAATGAGGTTTTAGTAGGTGCAAATGAAATGACTGAAGCTGTTGAATTACTATTGGAGTTTAGAAAATTTCAAGAAAAATACTATGTAGAATGAAGTGAATGTTTTCATATGAAACGAAAGTTAAACCTTTAGATGATCCAAAAGAATCATACAGAGTTCAGTGTTTCAATTTAGTGCTGGACTTCAACTTAGTGCTGGACCAAGCTATTCAGTCCATGGAGTGTAGATTTGAACAACTTAAAAGCCATGTAAAATTATTTGGATTTCTAAATAACTTTCAAAGTATAGAGAAAGCAGAAATAAGGAAACACACAGCAAACCTTTAAGCAGCTTTAACAGACACTGCAATAAAAAAGAGAACTGATGAAAAGGTAGTTATTGAAAAAACTAAAGATGTTGATGGCTATCTGTTGGCTGAAGAACTTGAATCTCTGAAAACTTTTCTTCACTCCAGTATCATTAAGCATCATACCTGGTAGTAAACAAGTGATTTACAACATTTCCTAATGTTTTTTATTGCTTTGAGGATTTACAACAATGCCTGTGACAGTTGCATTAGATGAAAGAACTTTTTCAAAACTAAAACTGATTAAAACATACTTATGGTCAATTTCATGATAAAGACTAAACAATTTGGCAATGCTATCTATAGAAAATGACATTGCTAAAACCATTGACTCTGAAAATATTTTGAGAGACTTTGCAAATAAAAAAAGCCAGAAAAGTCTTTTTAAGACCTCAGTATGCCTGTAATTGCCTTACTTTGTATTAAAAAAAAAAAAATAAAACCATCATTTTGCCTTTCAAAATTTTAGTATATCAAGCATTTAATGTCTTTTTTTGGTTAAAGGCAAGCATATGACATGAAATATAAACATACATAAATTTTTACTTTTGTAGAGTAGGGGCCCTGCATTTCCTACCACTGGCATAGATAGATAGATAGATAGATAGATAGATATAGATATGGACAGATATATAGACAAATATGAAGAGATTTAGAGAGATAGAGAAGAAATTTAGATAAATATGGATAAATAGATAGATAAGAAGGGATTTAGATAGAGATAGATATGGATAGATAGATAAATAAATACATAGAGATTTAGATAGATAGAAATATAGATAAATACATAGAGATTTAGATAGATAAATATGAAGAGATTAGATAGATAGATATGAAGAGATTTAGATATATAGATATGAAGAGATTTGGATATATAGATAGATATGAAGAAGTTTAGATAGATATGAAGAAATTTAGATAGATATGAAGAAACTGGTGTAGATATCAATAAATTAGAATATAAATACTTGTATGAAGAAATAAATTATTTT